GCAAGGCAGTCCATTTCCCACCTCTATATCTTTGCACAGGTGATCTCCCATGTCTGGAATATATTTCTTCTATACCGCTTACCTTTTAGAGTCCCTCCCTCCCTCCCTTCCTCCTTCCCTCCCTCCTTCCCTCCCTCCCTTCCTTCCTCCCTTCCTTCCTTCCTTCCTTCCTTCCTTCCTTCCTTCCTTCCTTCCTTCCTTCCTTCCTTCCTTCCTTCCTTCCTTCCTTCCTTCCTTCCTTTTCTTCTTCCTTCCTTCCTTTCTTCATTTTTTGGAGGCAATCAGGGTTAAGTGACTTGCCCAGGGTCACACAGTAGTACGTGTCTGAGGCTGGATTTGAACTCAGATCCTCCTGAGTCCAAGGCAGTGCTCTGTCTACTATGGCACCACCTAGCTGCCCCTACAATACTTAGTTTCCTAACACCACAGTTAACATTGTAACTCTCTTCCCATTTAGTCAGGTCCTAGTTACTTTCTCCTTCCAAAGAGGTGGAAGATTCACCATGAAGCACCCTCTACAAGGCCTTTCCTGATGACCTCAGTGGTTCATGCTCTCTCTTTTGATGTTACTTTGTTTTATTTCATGTGTGCTTTGAAATTATTCATGTATGTGCCATGAACTCACAGAAGGCAGAATGGCAAAGAAGATACTACAATGACTTTGTAATCAGAAGACTTGGATCCAAATCCTAATTCACACCCTTACTTATGTCACTTTGGCCAAATCATTTTGCTTCCCTGGTACGCTTTATCTCATCTACCAAGTGAAGAAGTTAGGCTAGGTGGCCACTTCCAGTTCCGGACCTATGGTCTCTCTGGGTCTCCGTTTTTTCATTTGTAAAACGAGGGATTTTTGAGACACCTTTGTTCAAATATAACTGGAGGCTCAAGGTGGGGTTGCGTAAGATTTCCATCATTGGGGGAGATAGATTACTTGATATTCCATGCTTTACAAAGGGTTGGTGAGAAATGGAGAGAGAAGAAATCTTAGTCTTCTGGTTTCCAACTTTGAGAGGAAAGACAAAAGATTCTCTTTAGGGAGAAGTCCCTGAAAAGAAAGAAGCTGAGAAGAAACCCCCTAAATCCTGGAGGAGGATTTTAACTAAAGATAGAGAAGCAAGCTGTTGATCATATCACTGTCCCTAACCTGCTATACCAGATATTTTGGGGGAATTTCTTCCTGGATGGGGTCTGGAACTCTTTCTTTTTCCTTGGTGGAACTGAAATTTCTTGCTCCCAAATGGGAGCATTCCTTCACTCTGTGTTGGCTGGCATATATATTCTCATTGGTATACCTTCTCTGATTTCTGCTCATTATTGGTTTGAATAAATGGGTTTATTTGCTAAGCACTACGTATGGTCTTTCTCTGTACCTAGCATTTGGTGAGAAGGGAGTCAAGCCTTGGACATACAGTGTGGGACACTTTTTCTTCATTAAGGGAAGAAAGTACTGCCTGAACTTAAAAAATATTTCCCTGAGACTAACAATATTTAGGGATGGATGGATAGATATAATTCTAGCCCAGTACTCACTTCTCTGAGGACAACAGAGCAGTCAGCCTTGTGTTATCATTGGTTTAAAGTTTCCTTTGCAGAAGAGGGGGGAGGAGAAGAGACTCTAGTGATGTCCTGTGAGCCACAGCTAGGCAAAACCATGTGGACACATACATGAGCAACACAAATACACACATAGTACACAAGGAACACTAGATTTGAAGTTAGCGGCCCTGGGTTCAAACACTAGTTCTGTACCTATAAATAAATTTTATTTATTTACTTACAAGAAAATTTATAAAAAATTAACAAAATAAAATACAATTAAAAAAACTAGATTGGGTGAACTTTCATATCCCTTCTACTCTAGGTCTGTAATCATATCCATTATTTTATGAATCAGGCACTTTTCAGTTTCCTCATATGTAAAAGGAAAGGGTTAGACTGGATAACTTCTAAGGCCCTTTTCAGCACAAAGTATGTTTTGCTAAGTGCTTGTGACAATCTCTGCTATGCCACAAAACCTCTCTTAACTGAAAGCTCCAGTTTCCAGGGAATGATCACCTTACATGATTTAAACATTAAACGCATATGGAAAGTTCAATGTTTTGTCACTAATCTCTGCTTGACTCAGGGCTATAAACTTTGGTCAGCAGGCTGATCAGTCTCTCCTCTAATTTTAAAAACACATACGCAGCATATAGCAGTTATTAGATCTCATAACGAGTCCTCTTTCTTCAAGTGGAAAAACCTCCTTTCAGAAGTAGAGTAAAACGTTAACTCCTGAGAATCATTTCAAATGATAACATGCTGTGCCATAAAATTTTATAGTCACTGGACCAAGTTCCTGATTTCTTTGCTTGTAATCAGATTGGTGAAGTCCATGTGAATAGCTCCCATACTAGTAAGTTGAAGTCACGGTTTAAGAGGAGAATAGGTCAAGAACATTTTCTGTTCCCTCAGGGTGTGTGGTTAGGGATTTGGGTCTCTCTTTCCTTAGAAAGCAATGCTGTGTTTAGCTTCCTGTAGGGTTAGGTTGAATTCCATTGATGTGCTAGTCTGTTTCTTGTTGAAAATCTAAGTAGGGCATAGCATCTGCAGACTAAGAAGGAAGTGAAGAAGTTTTATTTTATGTTGGATTTTATATTGATATTCATTCTTTAAATTTTGTTTTATTTTTATTTATGGAATAAAACAAGCATTTCCATAACAATATAATTTTAAAAAATGCACATGAAACTGCAAATCTCTTATGTACAACTTGCTATTCCTTTTAAGTATATAATAGTTATCGTGTAAATTTCTTTTTTAAAAATTTTTTTCCTTCCCACCCTCACCGCCTGCCTTAGCAGTGGCTATCATTAGACATTAGGCATATTAGACATACACGCACACATATATGTACGCAAAATCATTCTATGCATACTTCTATTTATATATTAAACCGTTTTCTAGGAATTAGTCACAGGATTTAGAGATAGACGGTCCAACTGTCTCAACAATGAGAAATGAGGAAACTAAAGCCTGGTGAAATCAGGTGATTTGCCTAAGATCATAGGAAGAACTGATAGATATGAACTAATATCTCTTGACTCCAAATCCAGTATTCTTTTTACTGTTCCACTGTCTTTTTTTAGTCTGATTTCCTCAATTAGATTATGAACTCCTGAAGTCAAGGCTCATGTCTTCTATATTTCCCATAGTGTACCACAATGCTTGACACGTAGTAACTAAACAACCATCAGGATTCATAGATTGACTGGTCTGTTCTATGCTCCTCTCTTTAGGAACTAACAGTAATAAGCTAGTCGAAGCATCATTATTTTGAGAGGAATGCAGAGAAAATTGATCCAGAGTATTAAACAGAAACTTAATGTCTGATTTAAATATGATGCTAGCTTGGCTTCATGGTTAGAAAGCCAGCTTCAGAGTTAGGAAGACATAGCTACGGAGAGTTAGCCCTATGAACTTTCAAAGAATTTAACTTTATTTGAAAAACATTTTATTTTTGTTAATATTTTAATTAATATCTATTAATATTAAATATTATTTCATAAAATCAAAATATTTTGTTAATTATACTTCAATATAATTGCCTTTCTTTACATACCTATGTAATATATTAATATTTATATAATATGTTTATATACTAATTTTTATAACATATTTAATGTATTTCTGAGGAGGAATATGTGAACTTCACTTTACTGCCAAAAGAATCCATGACACAAAAAAGATTAAGCTCTTCTGTTCTAGATTGAAGGTCCCCAACACATTTAGGCTGTAAGTCACTTAACTTCTCCGTGCCCTAGGTATCTTTTTAAGACTATAAATCATGGAGCCTCTGAGGACCTACACTTTCCTCCTCTCTAAAATGAGGATAATGATGGAAACTCATAGGTTTATTATTGTGAGGATCAAGTGAAATAACATGTAAAATGCTTTGTAACCCTTTAAATAATACGCAAATGCTACCATCATCATCATCATCATCACCATCACCATCATCATCATCATCATCACCATCACCATCACCATCACCATCCTCATCCTCATCCTTATCCTCACCATCACCATCACCATCACCATCACCATCATCATCATCATTATCATCATCATTTCCTCACTAGAAATTTGAAGCTTACCTGACTGACTTCAGGTAGATCAGTTAGCCTTCCTGGGCCTGAGTTTGCTTAACTATAAAATGAAGTGGTTGGGTTAGATGGTCTCAGAGATCCCTTCTAGCTTGAGATAAATGAATGAATTAGATGCCTTTATCAGTAGAATTGCAGGTCTAGTTGTTTGCCCAAATATCACTGGCACAAAGGTAGCTTTTGTATTAAATATACTGGACTTACTCTCTGAACTCACACTCAAACTAGCAGGTTGGGTCCCAGAGTTTTGACTGGCTTCATCAGTCTTTAGGGTTCTACGTCAGTCTCTGCATTACACTTCACGGGTGTTTTTCTTTCCCTTTGGCATTTGCACAAATCTTTCTCATAAGAAATATAGTGGTCTATGATCATTCTTAATCAGCCTCACTGTTTTATAAGCAAAATTTCAAATAATATTTTCAGAAAAGCAGTTCAAGGAATGAGAGCTCAGATTTATTTTTTAAAATTTTATTGAAAAGTTTTGCTGTATTTTTTTTTAAATGACTGATTCTCTATTTTGCTGAATCTAGAAGTTCAGGGGCTCTCATAGGCCTGATTTGATTGCTGTTGGGTATGGAAACTTTGACTTGCTTTGTTTCTCACCTTGGCCAGTTCAATTCTCCTTAAAAGACCTGGTGGTCCCTGCTTCTGGGGATTCACCAAATTAATACCAATCTGAGTTCAGACACCTGATTAGCATGTTCCATTGCAGCTCAAAACCAAACTCAAAAGCCTCTCTAGTAGCTAGGATTACAAGGGACAGCCACTGTGCCCAGCTGTTGTCTTTTGCTTTTATCTCAGACTTATTTCCCCTTATCTTCTGTCTCCCACCTAGAATCCCTCCTTGCAATGAGGAACAACATTTAAACAAAGCCAGAAAAAACAGAATTCTATCTAACAGCCTAAGCATAGTCCTCTCCTGAGAGGAGGGGTGTGGATTTCATTATCAATTCTAAAGGTATGGGATTGCTCGTTACAATTAGTTGGCATATAACTGTATTTTGGTGTTATTGATTACATTATTATAGTCACTTTGTGTATTTGTAATAGGCTCTGGATTGGAGCTGAGCTGAGCTCCCCTGGCAACTTATGGCAACATATAAGGTTTAGCACCAAAGGACTTGTATTTTGGGATGATGAAGTCATTACTTTATTTGTCCCTTGGTCCCCATGATAGCAGCAGGGGTAGAGCCCTGAGTCAAAGGTGGTTGGTTAGCCACTGAGCCTGGAGGATCAGCCCACTCAGAAGAACTTAAAAGGGTAGTAGATTTAAAACTAGAGGGGATTTTAGAGGCCATCTTATCCATCACTCTTTTACAGACGAGGAAAAAAATTCAGATGTCAAGCCCAGGATCTCACACTTATGAGGGATATGAATCCAAGTCCATCATTCTATCCATTACATCAGCTGCAGCTTTGAGAGTGAACCCAACTTCTGAGGCTCTTTCTTCCATCTACTTGAGACAGCTAGGTGCTGCAGTGCATAGTACACTGTAGGAAGACCTGAGTTCAAATCCAGCCTAAGACCCTTACTAGCTGTGTGACTCTGGGCAAGTCCCTTAACCTCTCTTTCTCAGTTTCCTCAACTGTAAAAGAGAGAGAATAATACGTACCTCCCAGGGTTGTTGTGAAGATCAAATATTATCATATTTGTAAAGTGTTTAACACAGTGCTTCCCCTTCTTCCCCTCCCAGGGTGTGTGGAGATTGTGAATCACTCTGTCTCTTGGACTTCCTGTGTCAAGGAGGGAGTGGCTCCTCATCTGGCGCCCCATCTCAAACAGTTCTGTCACCAGTTAGCATTGCACTGAGACAAAGTCTGAGACTGGATGTCAAGTTTCTATCTATTTCTCCAACCTTGTTTTTGTTTTTCTAATCATAAGTGACCAACAATCAATTAATCAATCAGCAGACCTCTACTACCCACCGATTCGCATCAGTTTCTTGTTACATATTATTCTCCTCATTCTTCTTTCTTTGCTCTGTGCCATGCCTACAAGACTTCCCTCATTTCTTTGCATTCTTTCTATCTACTGTTTCTCATTTGCAACCATCTTTTATTGGATTCATGTACCATGATTTGTTCAATCCTTCTCCAATTGATGGGCCCCCATTTTGTTTCCGTGTATTCTTTGCTACCCCCAAAAATCATAGCTTTCATTTTTACAGCACTAAAAGGGTTCCAAAGTACCTTCCTTATGCTATTGTTTCATAAGAAGTAATGAGCAGGCAGACTTCAAAAAAACCCTGAAAGACTTGCATGAACTGATGCTTAAGTGAAATGAGCAGAACCAGGAGAACATTGTATCCAGTAACAGTAACATTGTGCATTGACCAACTTTGATAGACTTAGCTCTTGTCAGCAATGCAAGGATCTAAGACAATTCCAAAAGCCTCATGATGGAAAATGCTATCCACACCCAGAGAAAGAACTATGGAGTCTGAATGCAGATGAAAGTATACTATTTTCTCTCTCTCTCTCTCTCTCTCTCTCTCTCTCTCTCTCTCTCTCTTTCATTTCTTTTTTCTTGTGGTTTTTCCCTTTGGTTCTAATTCTTCTTTACAATATGACTAATGTGGAAATATGTTTGATATGATTGTACATCTATAGCTTATATCAGATTGTATGCTGTCTTGGAGAGAGGGGAGGGTAAAGAATGGGAGAAAATTTAGAACTCAAAATCTTATAGAAGTGAATGTTTAAAGCTAAATAAATATACACACACAACACATATTTAAAAATGATTTATTAAAAAAAACAACAGCATGTTCCTCACAATGACCTTGGGAGGTATGCAGTACAGATATTATCACCTCCATTTTATGATGGGGAAACTCTAATTTAGAGCAATTAATTGAACTGTCCAGGGTCATAGAGTTAACAGGTATCAGACTTAGGATATGAGCATGTTTCTGCTGATTCTAAGGCTGTTGTGCATTCTAATATGTCACAATCAATGCTTCTTCCTTGGGTTAGTTACCCTGTTGTTACTTTGGAATCTCTGATAGACTCTTGCCCAATCATTCTTCCTGGAAATTTCTTGGAGGTGGTAGTGTTAAAATTGCTAGATGGTCAGAGAACATGACTCTGGGGGCATAGAGGAAGGGATACAGAAGGAAATTCAGACTATGTAAAAACAAAGGCAATCAATGCTGATTCATTTTTCAAAAAAATTCAGGGAACAAAACGAGCATTTCTATAACACAGTAAAATGAAAGAAATGATTCCACATGAAACTACAAACCTAACATGTACAGTTTGCTATGTCCTCCAAATATACAACAAAGTTATCATGTAAAATTATTTTTCCCTTTTTTTCTTCCTTCTTCCTCCCCTTTACCCTAGAGATGACTATCATTAGACACACAGATATATATTTTATATACATATACACACACACACATACATATACACATATATACACATACATATATAAAATTATTCTATATATACTTGCATTTATCAGTTTTCTTTGTAGATACAGATAGCATCTTTCTTCATATGTCCTTTATTTTTAGTTAGTGTATCTGTAACAGTTAAAATGACTTAGTCAGTCAAAGTCATTCTTAAGACAATATTGCTGTTACTGTATACAATGTTCTCTTGGTTCTGCTCACTTCACTCTTCACCATCCGTGCCTTTCTAAGATCATCAAGCTCATTATTTCTTACAGCACAGTAGTATTCCATCACAACCATATACCACAACTTGTTCAGCCATTTCCCAATTGATGGGGATCCCTGAAATTTCCACTTCTATACCACCACAAAGAGCTGCTGTAAACATCATTTAAATTTTTTTCTATAAAATTCACTTTTCTAAAATAATAGATTCATAGATTTAGAATTGGCTAAGACCTTAGAGCTCATCTAATTGAATTATTTAAATGTAAACCCAAAGACGTGAAGTGTGTTGCTCAGGGTTACATAACTTAGTAACCATGTTCATGGGCTTCACGATGTACTTAGAGACATTATCTCTGACCTCATGTAGCTTACACTCTCTGTTCATAGCTCAACATCATGTCATTTACAAATCAAATGTACTTCAATTTGAGTCCAGAAGGCAGAACCAGAAGAAATGGGTGGAATTTGCCAAACAGCAAATTCAGGCTTGATATTTGGAAATACTTCCTAATAATGAGAGCTAAACAAAAATGGAAGCTACTGCCTTGGGAAGGTAGACATTTCCCATGAGCCAGGATGACCGAAAGGTTCAATTTCTGCCTCTTCTGTGTAAGCTGGGCTAAGTCACTCAACCTCTCCGAGACTCAGTTTCCTTATCTATAAAATGAGGGGGTTGCCCTCATTGGTAGTTTTTAAACAGAAGTTCAATGATCAAAAAGAGGAGAAGGTTTTTGGGTCTTGATTGGATTAGATGGCAGCTAATACCCCTTCCAAATCTGAATTCCATGATTCAGAAGGGGCTGATTTAATCAGGCTCCATGACTTGTGCTCTGCTAATTATCATACTAAAATTGATGGTTCAAATGGTTTGAGGCTTTTAAAGGGCTACTTTTGTGTTGGTGGAGTTTGAATTCTTGGATGTTATCACTGTATCACACAGGGTTAGAGCTAGAGGGGATTGCAGAGACCATTTTAGTCCAAGCTCATCATTTTACAGAAAAGGGAACTGAGACCCAGAGAGGTACCTTGTGTGTGTTTTATATATTCCTCTAGTGTATGAGAAGCAGCTTGAAGACAAGAAGACCTGAGTTCAAGTCCCACCTTTGGTACATACTGGTCACAGCAAATCATTTAACTTTTCAGTGTCTCAGACAACTCTCTAAGGCACTAAGTTGCCAAGAAGGTGCTGGATGACATTGTTAGAAGGAGTTTCCTCACTCAGAAATTCCTTCTATTGGCAAATGAAATCACAACTCTGGTCCCTACCATAGGTTATTAACCGGTAGGGTCCCAGAGTCAAGTTAATGTAGGATCAGAATAAATGAATGAAAAAGCATTCATTAAGCACTTGCTATGTTTCACATGCACTTATGTATGTAATACATAAATGCATGCATACATATATGTATTTATCTATCTGAGATATATATTGGCAGAGAGAGTGAGTGAGAGACAGAGAGACAGAGACAGAGACAAACAGAGACAGAGATGGAAAGGAGGGAGAGACAGACAGAGACAGAGAGGGAAAGGCGAGAGATGGAGACACACACACACACACAGAGAGAGAGAGAGAGAGAGAGAGAGAGAATACGGTGATGTAGTGTCTGATTGCTGTCCTTTATGCTCGAAGAGGACCAAAATCACACCACTATTTCAGGAAAAATGTACAGTGTATCTGACAGTGCCTGATCAGGCCATCTATATCAATGAAATCACTAGTCCTGCCCTATGTGTGTTTTGTCTTTCCCATTAGAATGTAGGCCTCTTAAGCGCAGATATTATTCCACTTTTGTCTTTCTACCCCCAGTGTTTAGCATGGTACCTGGTACTTAGTAGGCATTTTACAGATATTTGGTAATTGATTGTTAACTGACTTTCCCAGGATTGTATGGGTAGTAAGTGAAAGAGGTGCAATTTGAATCCATGTTCACTGATTCCAAATCCATGGTACCATATTTAACAAGAATATTCACTGATGACACCATAGCTTCCTCCAATCTCTCATCAACCAATCTATTTTGTTTCACTTACTAGACAAACCTTGGCTTTGAGGACTAAACCAACCAGCCTGAAACCTCTTCAAGAAGACAGGAATACTCAGAAGATGCAGAATCTTTGGTAAATAAGGAAATATGAAAACTCGAAGTCAAAAGTCCATCACCATGTTACTGAATCAGCTCTGGCTCAGCTAATGTGCATGACCTCTGCCCAATTCTGTGGGCTTACTTATGAGTCCTATAGTTTTAAGTGACAGCAGTGGTCATCTTGTTTGGAGATAGACAGTGTCTCCTTGAGGCAGTGTGTAGGAAGAGGCAGTGGTAGGAGCTCTGGCCCTGAAGACATAAGAGGTCTGGGTTCACAGTTTTGATTCTAATGCCTACCATGTGGGTGATTGTAAACAAGTCATTCTTGTCTCTAAATTCCTCAGTTTTGCATCTAAAGCCCTTCACAAGCTGGTCTCAACCTACCTTTCTAGGTAGATTATGTGACACTGGTCTTCACAAATCCTACCCGTTAGCCAAATGGGCTTTCTCATTATTCTTCACACCAGATATTCCGGCTCCTTTCTCCATGCTTTTTGTATAGGGATTCCCCAAGCTTGAAATGCATACCTTCCTCACCTCTTCCTTTTAGAATGAATGAATGAAAACACGTTTATTAAGAGTTCACTATGCACAAAACACCATGCTAAGAATTCCTAGCTTCCTTTAAAGTTTGTCTGCAATGCTCCTTCCTATATAAAAGCTTTATTGATTCCCAGTCCCCTAAGTTCCAGAGTTCCCTCTAGAAGCCTTCCCCTCTCTTTAGAGTTAAGGAAATTGAGGTCTAGAGAGGAAACTGCATTTATTTTTATATCCTTAGGTGTATATACATCCTTTCTTCTCCATTTTGTTGTTGTTCGGTCATTTTTCAGTCTGGTCTGACTCTTTGTGACCCCATTTCGGATTCTCTTGGCAAAGATTCTAGAGTGGTTTGCCATTTCCTTCTCCAGCTCATTTTACAAATGAGGAAACTGAGGCAGACAGGGTGAAGTGGCTTACCTAGGGTCACACATCTAATAAGTGTCTGAGCCCAGATGTGAACACAGGAAGATGAGTCTTCTTGACTTCAGGGACTGTCTCTATCCATTGTGTCACCCATCTCCTCCATTTCTATGTTTCTTAGGATCAAGGACTTTCATTTTTGTCTTTGTAAGTCAATATACATTTGTTAAGCACCTACTATGTGTTAGGCACTGTCTTTCCATCCCTAGCACAATAAGCACATAGTAGGTGCCTAATAAATATTGCTGATACAGTGTTTTATACAATGTGATTGGAATATCCAACCAAATTGTCTCCATCTTGCTCTTCCTCTTTTTCTGAAGACAACCACACTCTGTAGAGTAATTATCAGCTAACATTTATATGAGGCTTTAAGGTTTGCAAAGTGCTTAACAAATATTTGATCCTTGCAGCCTCCCTGGGAGGTAGGTGCTTTTATCACCCCCATTTTATAGATGAAGACACTGAGTCTAAGAGCAGTATAGAGACTTGCCCAGGGTTACACAGCTAGTAAATGTGGCTGGAGGCCAGATTGGAACTTAGATCTTCTTGGCTCCAGGTCCAGAGCTTTATCCACAAGGAAAACATAATGACTTTTTAAAAGATAAGTTTTAATTGATATTTTCTACTTTTTATATCATCATAGCTATGTAAAGTATCCCTTCTTCTTTCCCTTCTCCTTTCAGAAAGCTATCCCCTATAAGCAATAGTGTATTTTAGAGAGGAAAAAAAACCCCAATAAATAACTGATCAATGTACTGAAAAAGTTCAATAGCATGTGCAGTGTGTAACACCTGTGGACTTCCCACCTCCACAAAAAGATGTCTTCCAATAGGTCTTCATCTGAGTCCTACATTTTTTTATAATTTTGTTCCACCGTCTTTTGAGTTTTTGGTTTGTCATTCTTCCCACTTACATTGTTGCGCTCTTTGTGTTTATTGTTTTCTTGGCTCTGCTTGCTTCATTCTGCATCAGTTCATGTAAATCTTTCCATGATTCTCTGTGTTCATAACATACATTATTTTTTTTTTTGGTGACTTGCCCAGGGTCACACAGCTAGTAAGTGTCAAGTGTCTGAGTCTGGATTTGAACTTGGGTCCTCCTGACACCAAGGCCAGAGCTTTATCCACTTCACCATCTAGCTGCCCCCATACATCATTTCTTACAACATAGTAGTATTACATGACATTCATGTACCACAAATTGTTTAGCCATTTCCCAGTCAATAGGCAGCTATTTTGTGTCCAATTCTTTGCTATCTCAAAGAGTGCTACTATAATTGTTTTCGTGTATATGAAGCCTTTCTTCTTATCAAGCACAATGACTTCTGTTCAGAGGGTCTTGCTTAGAAATTTGACCAGGATCTCTTGTTGCACAAAGACTTTTGACTCTCTGACTTGTCCTTGACCTTCCAGAAAAAAAGAAGCAGAGAAATTTAGAGCTCGCAAGGACCCTAGAGATAATCTAGATTCAGCTTTGTAATTAAGAAGACCTGGATTCAGGTACTGCCTTGGAAATCTGCTATTTTCCCAACCATGGGCAAGCTACTCAATCTCTCATTGCCCCAGGGAACTTTTTAAGATTCTGAGTTGCGTGTCTGTAAGAGTGGAAGGAATTCTCCCAGAAGGAGTTCCCTGCATAGGCAAAATCACAGATTTAGACAAAAAATAAATTAAAAAAGCCACCAAACCATTAACCACTATCTCTAGGTTTTTCACCCTATTTTCAGTGCTCTGCTTGTGTGCAAGAACAAGGTAGTCAAATACCTATGCTATCTCAGAAGCACATGGAGATTGGGACCTAAATGGAGATGAACAGTTGATGTTTTAACCTAATTCTCCTTCCTTTGGAAGCCTGAAAAGAATTGAAAAGTCAAATATTATGGTACTAAATACGGTTTGAATATAGTTAGTCTTTTACAACCTAAATGTAGTTAATGATCAACCTTTGGGACCCTAACTTTTCTGCTCATCTGAGAACAGATCTGGTTGTCAGATTGCTATTTCTTCCAGTTGATAAGTATATCTAGAGTACTATTGTTTCTTTCCCTTCACTCTAGAATTAGCCTTGTAAAAGTACATTGCTTAACTTGTTTAACTAGGTCTCTGGGGAGAAGCCCTCTTTACCACAATTTATTTATTTTTTAACTAAAATCTTAAAGCAGAAATCCATTCCTTGCCAAGGGCCTTAATGACTGGGCATCCAGCCAATAAACTAATTATTTAAGAAAAAGTTTAAAAAATACTCATAAACTGTAGGAGATAGGGATTGAACCTATGACTTCATTGACAAGGGGAGCTCCCAGGTAAGGAACTCCCTTCTACTAATGTAGGTTGGCACCTTCTCTGAAACTTATAGTCTTAAAGAGTTGTAATACCAATTGGTTAAATGCCTCACCTGTGTCAGAGGCAGGATATGGGAACTCCAGGTTGTGGTGCTTTCAGAGCTAACTCCTTATCCATTACCACTGCTAACCTCACTCCACAGAACACTGTCTCTAACTCAGGGACATTAATTAACTCTTGTGTGAGAAATGTTGCTTCCCATGATTCAGGGCACTTCCAGTGACCCAGAGATAGAAGCCCAGTGGCATTGTGGGAAAAAACAACACTGAACTTGTCATCAGAAGACCTGGGGTCAAATCCTGGCTCTGCCCCTTACTAGTTATGTGATCATGGGCCAATCACTGTGCTTCCTAGGGCCTCAGTTTCCTCTTCTATAAAATGAGGAGGTTTGACTAAATAGACTCAGTGTCTGCATCTGTAAAATAGGGATGATAATAGAACCTACCTTCCTGGGTTATTGTGAGAATAAAATAATATTTATAAAACATTATATAACAGCTATTATTATTATTGTTGTTGTTATTATTACATGAAAAATAAACAACAAAATCAACAATGAAAAATTCCCCAATCAGTCCCTGTTTTCTACTGGGGAAAAGAAATTTCTCTTCCATCTCTTTCTCTTTTTTTCTCTGTCTCTGAACTGATAGATGTCTACATAGATAGATAGATGAATCGATATCTAGATAGGTAGGTTGGTAGAGAGATATAAAATATACTCTGACACTCCCAAATACTCAAGTAGGTCCCATGAAGTAGTGTAGTATGAGCTTAGGGCCCTTCAAATAAAACCAAATAGAAGCATATTTGAAATGGGCTGAATAAATAATATTTTTACTTAGTAATTACTTTGATTAATAAATGCTTGTTTATTCATTCATCTGTTTTGTTTCCAAAGCAAATGAAATGCAGTATGGAATTTAGCTAAACAACTGTATCTGTTTGAATCCTGATCAAGTGTCCCATTCCATCCAGTAAATTCACCCAGATAGGCTAAGCAGCTTTCTCAATGCCTTGTAACTGCTTCCCTTCTCCCCACTAAGGGAAGAAAGCTTTCAGATGGACCTCTGGAGACTGTATTCCCTTTCCCTGGGGAATTTAACCCATTATACTTTAGCACTTAGAGGGAGGAGGGGTGGGTAAAGTTTAGCTGTGCTGATTGGTGAATGAGTGAAAACTTGCTCAAACTACTAAAGCTGACTGGCTTCATACCATGCTTCACATCCCATTCAACCACCCTCCTGGAAACCAGGGACCACCATCTTGCCATCTGTTTTGCAGTATTGTGTGTTCCAGACCATCTTCCACTCCCACAGCTGCAACCCCAATTTTCTACTTATTACTCTTGCTTGGGTAATTCTGAGCAAATCAACATTACTATTGCTACGGTAAAGGACATGAGGATGTCCTACCCTGTGGCTCTAGTTACCCTTGCCATGGCTGCTCAGAACAACTTCCCTGGCCACCACAGATCCGTTGTCTCCTTCTGAGAGAATGTGAGGTCCTTGAAGCTAAGAATTATCTCCCTTTGGTATTCTTCTCCTCAGGGTCTAGCTAAGTACCAGCCTGGCAAATAAGAGTTACTTCAAAATGTTACTTCATTCATTTATTTGTTCATACCTGGAAAGGGGATGAGGAAAACAAAAGAAAAAGGAGAGGAAAAAACAAAGATGTTTGAGAAATTCTCCTAGAAACAAGATTTTTCTGGTCATTTTCCTGACGCTCACATTAAGGTGTATGGGGAGCTCAGGTATGTGATTTGGCTGTAGGAGGAATATTAAAGAGTATGTCTCTCAGAGGAAAATGAATATAATTGAAAGAGTGGGGACAGTGGGAAGTAATCCAATGGCGTGAGGTTCCTAAAGCCCAGGCTGAAACCTTTTGCATTTCTGAGCTCTATTCTCAGAATTGCCAGGAAAAACAAAGGATTGCAAATGTCTTATAGTATTGATTTTATTCCATCTCAGTGGCCAACACATCCATATTAAAGGTATGGGGACTGCTATAAATCTCTTAAAGTAATATCTGAATGGAGGTGAGTTACATGGTTGAGAGCTCAGAGCTTATTGTATATGTTTAGAGAATGAATGGCTGAGATCACTTGGTACTCCCTCTTCCTCAAAGAAAACACTTGGCACAAAGCCCCTTTGCTCCACCCTGAGGCACAGGGGGCATGACAGCAAGTGATTCCCACACCAACAACCAAGGTAGAGTAGAAAAGCCTTTGATATCATGTCTGGTGGAAATTCTCGCCTTTTCTTAAATGAATGGAGAAGATACTAAATAGAATAATCATCAGGTCTTTCATCAGTTAGGAAAGGATGGCGAGGTGAAATTACACGTGAAGGGTTCATACCTAGATACTTATTTTTTTATTTAAACATTTAAAAAAATTTATCATTCATAGGTATTTAAAGGCAACAGTTTTGTTATAGGATCATAGAGCTGACAGGGACCTTAAGAGGCCATTGAGCCCAAATTCCTCATTTTACAGCTAAGGAAACTGAGGTCCAAAGATGTTAAGTGACTTGCCCAAGGTTACACATGTAGTAAATGACAGGTAGAATTTGAATCCAGCTTCAGAGCCAGTGCTGTTTCCATTATATCATGCAGTTCAGTTCAGTTCAATCAGAATTTATTAAATGCCTATGATGTGCCATGCACTGTTTCTGTAGAATGTAAGATCCTTGAAAGCAGGTGTTGTCTTGCTTTTATATTTGTATGCCCACAGCCTAGCACAGTGCTTGACACACAAGAAAGTCTAATAAATGCTTATTGTTTGGGCTTTGGTATGTACTTCTTAATATAACACTAAAGATGCATGTGTCTAGCTGTGTGACCCTGGGCAAGTCACTTAACCCTGATTGCCTCAAAAAAAAAAAGACACATGGGAAGGGCAGCATAGCATGGTGGATAGAGGACCAGTCTTGGATTCCTGATTTACCTTCAAATTTTATATCTGCAAAAAAATGAGCTATTTGTCCATGGCCAGGTGTTTATGTTCTCATTGGTGCTAGTGCATTTTCTAGGACTCGAACTTACTGATGTGTACAAGCGAAAGGAGTGTCTATACTGGGACATACTCACATAAAAGAAATCATAAGCCTGGATCAAAAAAAGAAAGATATATTCATGATTCAGAATATTGAACTCTAAACCCTTTACCATTCTGATCACTTTCCTCTGAAAATGATCAAGTTTATCAATGCCTTTCCTAACATGTAGTACGTAAAACTAAACATCATTTTCCAGATGTTGTCTGACTAGAAGAGAGTGCAGTAAGCTGGTTTATTACTATTTTTATTACATTATTATATTATTTATATATGCATTTGTTCATTAATTCATTTATGAATTTTTAATGTTTACATTACCTTAATTTCCCCACGTATCTTCTCCCTTCCCCTACCCAGAGAGCTATTTTTTTATTTCTCAGTAAAAAGCAGCCCAGCATGGCATTAGCTTTCTGGATTCCATCTCATGCTGTTGACTTAGCCATGTATCCCATATCTTGTTCTGTAAAGTGGATTCTTTTTTTTAAATGTAGGTGGAAAGCTTTACATTTATCTCCGTTAAGTTTTATTTTATTAGGTTTGGCTCATTGTTCTGGTCTGTCAAGAACTTTTTGGATTACCTGTTCCTCCTCCTCCTCCTCCTCCTCCTCCTCCTTCTCCTTCTCCTCCTCCTCCTCCTCCTCCTCCTCTCCTCCTCCTCCTTCTCCTCCTCCTTCTCCTCCTTCTCCTACTCCTTCTCCTTGTCCTTCTCCTCCTCCTCCTCCTTCTCCTCTTTCTTCTTCTAAAAAATGTTTATTTGATTGAATACAGAGCTAATCCTAAGTTCCTTCTTTCATCTTTTCACAATAGTATCTAGATAAGTAGTTTGGGAGTTTTTTCTCCATGAATGAAGTTTGGATGTCCTCTGGAACTTAGTAGGTGACCTTCAAAAGTCCTTATATATGAGAAGTTTGTCATCCAGCATCTGTTCTGGTGATGTGTCTCTGAATATACCTGGGCTTGTTCTCAGACAGTTAACACATAGTTCATCACCAGGCATGTATTTTAATCATTTCTAGCTTAATGGAATTGTCCAGAGCTTGTGTAAAAATCTTTGACAATCCCAGTTCATCTCTCAGTTATGAGGAATGGGACATGACCTTGATGGCAATTTCTGAATTGCCATCATAATAGTATATATTTCCAGCTTTCTATAAAATACAGGCAGTGGATGATACTATAAGAAGGCTGAATTGCAAGGGTTGAACCCATAGAAATGTTTTCTTCAGTAATATGTTAAAAATACCTTGATTATTAGTAGAATTTAATAAATGTGGTAGTAGATAAGCTTCTGTATTTAGATACATTTTTATTATTAAAATTTTCAGCACAGTGACCCAATTCACATAGATGGAGGGCATAGGTTTTTAAGAAGTGGATAATTGTTTTACTTTTGTGGGAGCTACCAATTCAGGTCTACTGCTTTACCCACCAGGTGAGTGAGTGAATAAATCTTATCATCTGTTTTCTCTTTGTGACAGAATACCTAAAGATAGATGACTAGAGGAAAGCTGTAATAGCAGCAATATGCAGGCAAGCAGAAAGTTTGGAAAAAGCAAGTCAATCTAGGTGCATGAAAGAATGATTTTTTTTTCTTGCTAAGTGGAATTTCAAAAACCTATATTATTCCCCAACAGGAAAAGAAAAATAAAAGTCATCTATGATGATTCTGATGGTACAGAAAGGGCATGAAAAGATGAAGAAAAGGTAAGGGCAATCTGGACACTAAATTCACTCTCCATTGACATCAATTATTTATAAGCAAAAGTGCCATTTCTTGGAGTATTTTCAGGGAATCAACATGAGCCAACCATCACTAGGGGGATAAATACTGGTCCTATCAGAGGGAGGGTATGTTCAACTTTTTGTTCCAGTTGATAAACTACACACAATTGATGCTTTTGAGCAAACTTGTGAAAGTCACAATCTGCCCCTCTCCTATCTATTTTGATTTTGAATGTAATACCACCCTCAACTTAACCTCTCTATGGCATCATTTTCCTCATCTGTCAATTGAGTGGATTTGACTACATGACCTCTGAGGTCCCTTCTACCTTTAAGCGTATGATCTTCTGATCATACATACATTCTTTCTGCCCTGACCTGTTGCAAAATGTCCCATCCCTGTCACTAATTCCTTTCAGCAATGAGCAGGTACAAGTCACATTTTGACTTCAGTGAAGTGATGAAGCCATTTTTGTTGTTTGTATAAAACTTATTTGGGTTTAATATTTTGCATAATTGCATTATTAGTCATTATGAGCTATGATGTGATACTTTTAAAAGATTGTTAATTGAAAATAAACTATCTAAAATATTACAATTTTTGATGGTTTCTGCCATATTTTCCATTCCCCATTTTCTTCAACAGAGTCCCAGAAAACTTAAACAACAAAAAAATCCTTATAAAACCAACTAAACACAAAGTCAGAATACTAAAGAGAGTACCCATTAGTTCAGTCCCAGTATAACTACAGAAGTTAGACATACTCTCCAAAATGCCACTTAAGCCCTGTGCATTTATGTGATCAGTATGGTATAGTAGAAAGTATGCTGGAATAGGTATAGAGAACCTTGGTTCAAATCTTGCTTCTGCCACTTATTAAATGTGTGACTTTACCCAACTCATTTCCCTTCTCTGGGCTTCAGTTTCCTTGTTTTCAAAATACAGAAGTTTTAACTTACTATGAAGACCTAACAATTTCAAGTTCACTGAAATTTCCAAGGAGAATGACTGAGCAAGAGGTCAGTAAGTGTTGCAAGATACATCAGAGGAATTAGCACCTTACTAATGTAAGGTGGTGGAAAGAATGCTGAGTTTAGAGTGAGGAAATCTGTGGTTCAAACTCCCTCTGACATTTACTAGCTATGTGACCGAGCTAGTCACTTAATGTTTTTCGAAGCTCATTTTATATATCATAAAATAGGGACCATAATTCTTGGACTACCTACTTCCCAGGGTTATTACAAGGAAATGATCTGTAAATCTTAAATAGCTATTATTAATAAGTGAATTATTATTAGATAACTCAAATCAGTAGGGAACAAAGTGAGTCCAGAAAGGGCATCTTTGGAAAGCTGTTCTTGAGGTCATGAGATTGATCTTAGTGTGATACCTCTCCATCAATGTGCAATTAATTGACCAACACTTATTATGCACTTACTCTGTGCCAGGTAAGTGCTGGGGATAAAAAGATTTCATTTGGTTAAAATTTTCATCCAGACGGTCAGGAAGCCACAGTAGAGCAATTGTATTGTTGGGCATTTGATATTCAGAATACTAAGTACACTGAGTAAGGGCGCAAATGGGCTGGATTTGGTGTTGGAGGCTTTTGGTGATGATGCCATCTTTGTTACGACCTGTGTAACCTTCATTTTTCTGGGACGTAGTTTTCTCCTTTGTGAAAAGAGGACATTGAACTAAATTATGTTTCAAGGTTCTTTCTAGCTTTCAATCTATGATGTGACTTTCCTCTTCAGTATCCCCACTGACATAGAATTTTCTTTCATCATTGGTTCTTTAGTCACATATGACTTCTGGACTCCTTCCCTAAAGATGGAGCAGCCAGAATTGTGAAAGGACTTGATTCCTTGCTGTATGAAAAGCAGTTGAAGGAATTGGGAATGTTTAACCTGGAGAAAAGAAGGCTGGATTGGGGGTGGGAGGGAAAGGGACAATATAACTGGGCTCAAATACCTGAATGGTGGCAATGTGGAAGAGAGGTTATGCTTGTTTCATTTGGCTCCAGGGGCAGAATTAGAAGCAATGGGTGAAAAAAAGTGAAAAAAAGGAAAAAAAGAGAAATGTATGTGATAACTCAATATTTAAATATATAAATAAATATTTAATAATATACATTAATAATACAGTATATTTAATTATATATTACACAATTATAATAATATTTAATTAATAATATATATTTAATGGAAGTTGTACATAATAGATTTGCAGTTCCATGTGCAATCATTTTTTTCACTCATTGTACTATGTTGTAGAAATACTTGTTTTATTCCATAAATTAAAAATAAAATAAAGATTAAAAAAAGAAGCAGTGAGTATAAAATGAAAAACTGAATTGTTAAGAAGTTTCCCTCAACAAATAGAGCTCTCTCAACCAAAATGGGCTGCCTGTGGAACAGGGGTTTCCCTTCAATGGTGTATTTAAGTAGAGATTGGATGGCCATTTTAAGGGGTATATGCTAGGGGAAATTCTTTTGTAGGTATTGATTGGCTTAGGTGGCTGCTAAGGTATCTTCCAACCCTAAAATTCTATGATTCTGTGTGATCTTGAGATAATATCTTGTCTAGAATACAGAATAATTACAACTGCCCAAATACTGGATAGGTGAATTCAGGCCAGTTAATAATTCATGTCAAGTCAAGTCAGTAACCATTTATGAAGTAATTAGTATGGGCCAGGCACTCTGCTAAGTGCTGGGAATACAAATTCAATTAAAAAAAAAAAGACAATCCCTGCTCTCAAGGAGCTTACATTTTAAAAAAGGAAGACAACACATAAAAGGGTGCTAAAGTGATAGAGGAAGTACCTGCATGGAGGCCTGGTGAAAAAATCCAGAGAATGAAGATGGCTGGTATGGGCCTTCCTCAAAATGGAGATATATCTGAAGGGGACTCATTGGTGAGAGAAGGGGGCTGCAGGGAGAGAGGGAGAAGGTAGCTGAGGCATAATGGTAAAGTCCAGAATATAGATGGTTGGGCCATTCCTTAAAATGGAAGTTTCAAGAGGAACTCACCAATGAAGAAGACAGATGTAGGGTCAGCTGGAGAAGGCAGCTGAGATATGGTGGCAATTCATGATTCCTGTGAAAAGATCTAGAATTTTTAGTGGACTCAATATAAGATAATAGTGTGATATGGTAGTCGAAAAAGCCAAACTGAAGCTAGGCTCCATTAAGAATAATATAGTGTCCAAGTTAAAGGAGATGATCAGTGGCCTCGTATTTTGACTTGATTAGGGCCACAGCTGCTTTGTGATGGGTAATTCTGGGTATCACAGTTTCAGGGCATGAATGAATTGGACTCAGTTCAAATGAAAATAACCAGAAGAGTGAGGTGACTTATAACCAAACCATATAAGAAATGGTTGGAGAAACTGCGGGGACTTTGCCTGGAGAAAAAAATTTAAAAGAGGCATGTTAGCTGACCTCAAGTATGTGAAAGGCTTTCATGGGGAAGAGGGATAAGGCTTGCTCTGCTTGGCCCTAGGTAGCAAAAGTAGAGGCAATGGGCAAGTCACAGTGAGATAGATTTAGGCTTGATGTGAGCAAAACAAAACAAAACAAAACAAAAAACCCCTTCCTAACATTAGAGGATGTTCCAAAATGGATGAGGTGGCTTAGGGAGGAATGAAGGACCTAGAAATTAGGAAAGTCCACAAAGGTATTGGTTGACAACCCTGGAGGTCTTTAAATGGAGGTTTCTTGGTCATATGTCAGGGATAATCATTCATGTTCAGGCATGGGTGGGACTAGATGTTTTCTGAGGTCCCTTCCAATTCTGAGATTTTGTGATTCTCACAACTGTAGCCATCCCCTTCACTGCAGTGATGTGAGAAAATGAAGAGGGCTTCCCTCCATTGATACTCTTGCTTGGGCAAAGGAAAGAAGAAAAATAGCAAGAAATGTGAGTGACAGAACCTAACTCCAAATCTTAATTTTAACATTATTATTAAATGGTTTTGGAAATATTCAGAATCATTCCAGGGGAACAGAGAGAGCTGATCATTGATTTTTTTTTTTAAATGAAACTGTGATATAGGGGGAAAGTCTCTTTTGAGATTTTTTTTATAGCAGCTTTTCATGGGGAGAGGGATGTACTCTGTCTCCAATGGCAACACTTTTTCAAAAGCAAAGTTGATAAAAAAGCAGTTATTAAGATGCTTGCTCTTGCCCCCCCCTCCAGTTTTCAAGCTCTACAATTGTGAAACAGCAGAGCAAAGGAATACCTAGGTGTCATGTTGAATCCCTCAGAGCTTCCCAAGTGTTACTGCCTTGGTTTTCCAGCTAACAAAATGAAGAATGTATATACATATATTTGTATATATATATTATATATATATATATATATATATATATGTGTGTGTGTGTATGCACATATATAATATGTGTATATGTGCATATACATACCATATATACACATACATGTGTGTGCACATATGCGGGTATGTGCATATATGTGTATACACACATATGTCAGCTTAGCCTGTGAAATGTTAGACTGAAATGTGCTTCTGGTGAGGGGAGTTAACACTGAGTTCTTCCTGGGGCAGTTCATGCTGGGTTAATCTCTAGGAGCAACTGAAGGAACATTAGTTCTCATCTGTAGAGAGAATTCTAAGTTCCTTGGCTCTCTGCCATCAAATTCCACCATGGTCCATTTTCACTCTTTCATGCCTAGAAGTGCCCCTGTTAAAACTCAGAACTACCAATTGATCTCCTATAAAAAATCTTATTACATTAGCATCAGATAAAAGAATTATAATGACAATGTTCAAATGGAAAACTATTCTCTATTTTAAATACAATAGCAATTAATATAACATGACATTTTTTTCAAGGATTTGGTTAAGCTCTAGTTAAGTTCTGCCTAGTCATAAATTCATCATTATTTCTCCTAGATAGAACTAAATATGATTTCAAGATAAGACAGCCAAATTATAATATTTTATTAATTTCTTGATATA